GAATAGTCTCATCATCATCATCAACGAAGAACCAATGTTGATATCCTATCTGTTGCTCGACGCCCAGACTACAGATGGCAGATCCTATCTAGCCTCTGTCTCTTATACACATCTAGATGTGTATAAGAGACAGCTCTCTCTCTCTCCCCCCATATGCGTACATCTCCCCTTTGTTGTTTCTGACAATTTTTTGTTTCCCCGTGGTTGCTGGTGTTGTTGGTGATGCAGATTCCAGAACGGATTAACCCACCTGATCACATTATGTGAGGGCCCTCTATTGATTCGGAATCATGTGTTGTTTGCTGGCACCATGGGCACATGATGCCAAGTTTTCATAGCCTTGTTCCCATTTGACAACTAAAATGTCTGATGCAGTATGGTCAAGAACTATGCTTGTCACAAGTTTTCATCGCCTTGTTCCCGACACAACTGTTTGGGCATGTAATGCAGGATGATTTTATAATACTTCACATCTGTCCTTTTTGAAACGGTTTTCACCTTTTGCAGTAACAGATGCAGATCCCAGGGTTCGATCCCTAGACCTCACCCTACCCATGTACAGTATCTGTGTAGACCCGAGAGTTGAACCTGTGACCTGTGTATTCGTAGACAGTTGTAAGTAGCAGGGGTTCAATCTGTAGATCTATAGAGTAGAAGTCTTAGCGAGTTCCAGAAGTCTAGCTGTAGTCCTTCTAGAAGGTCGGCAAGTGGGCAAGTGGCGAGGCAAGTGGTGGACTAAACTGCAGTACAATCGCAGTACGACCTCGGTAGGATAGCAGTGAGTCCACAGTCAGTCAGCGGTAAGGTCCAGTCAGTCCCAGTCCGGTCCAGCAAGTACCACGGGGGACTGTGAGCACCATGGGCCGATGGCAAAGGGCAGACCAACGAGTTTCCGAAGTATAAATCAAGAGGCAGCGCCCAGCCTTTCATTCATTCCAGCGTGAGCCATGCGGAAGCGGTGTCACAGCGACTTGTGCAAGGAGGTCTGCAGTGAGCCCGGAGGACGCAGTGGGCGAGAGAGAAGGAGCTTAGTATAGCGATAGGGTAGGGGCAGCCATAGCTGCCATAGCTGTAGTAAGTGTGAAGTCTGTGTGTATGTGTGAGTGTTCAGAGTTACGCATGTGGGATATCCAGGGTGATTCGGTGTGTGTGAACAGTGAGTTGTTTGGGCGCTGAGTCGCCATAGCCAGTTGAAAGTGAACTCGTATTTGGAAGCCGTATCTCGGAGTCTTGAGTGGGCGCATGTCGCCAGTTTGCTGTGCTGCCGTTTACATGCATGAAAAGTGTGAATAAGAACGAGTCTGATTGCATTGGTATCGGAGCTGGTACCCGCTATTTCATGCGCGACGTCGTGTGCAGGGTCTGAAGCGCCATAGCAGAGGTGGCCGCCGAGGGGTATAGTCCGCCATAGCGGACCTGAGGTTGGAGAAGCCGCCGCGCACCTGCAAGAAAACCACGACGAAGAAGAAGGC